AAACTTGTAGCAAAAATGGTCAGTTAAATAGAAAGGGTCAGAGAGTGGATGGGAAATGGTCATGAAAAACTAAATTATGACTCTTTTTGACACTCCAAAACTTCTCTAACATTATAAGTAGACCTCAGGGAACAAATTGCATTATAAAAAAGTATGATACGACCCTTTTAAGGGTCTATATCTGTGGACTCTAATTGAGCTTTGTAGAAAAGAACTGGTACTGTGCCGAATGGTTAAACTGTTTTGCATTAGCCGAGCGACCTTGACAAAGTGTTTCCCTGATTAATAGACAGCCGTGACCGTGTTTACTGTCCCAGGCTCCTGTATCAAGTGAAGAAGATTGACTTTTTGTGTCCTTTAATAGGATCTCCTGCCAAGACTACACGATCACAGTCCCCCGTGATGACATCACGCTCGCCGCAGAAGGTATGACCTTTTCTTGTTGTCTGGGGTGTTCTGTGAAGTGACCTTTGATGTATTTACTGGTGTGGATGTTTACTGTAGTGTCTGGGGACTCAATCCAGGCCGTCTAAACTGGGTCAGACTCAAGTCAATCCAACTGGGCCCATGATTAGACAGATTCACGCCAGTCCTGAGCAGTTGGGTTGGCAGCAATCCGCTGCAGATCCTCCAGAAATCACTAACCCATCTAAAAGTCCTCCATCTCAATGGTGGCACACATATATTGCTGCAGCAAATATATATGCACTACCATTCAAAGGTTTGGGGTCAAGATATTGGAAATTGATACTTTTATTTAGCAAGGATACATTAAATTGATCGAAAGTGACAGGAAAATAATGTTACAAAATGCTGTTTTTGTGAACTTTCTCTTAAAAAATTTTTAATAAATTATCACAGTTTCCAGAAAAATATGAAGCTGCACTGTTTTCTGCATTTATGATAATCATAAATGTTTCTTGAGCAGCGAATCAGCATATTAGAATGATTTCTGAAGGATCATGTGACACTGAAGACTGGAGTAATAATGCTGAAAATTTAGCTTTGCATCACAAAAAAAAATTACATTTTAAAAATATTCAAATAGAAAACAGCTATTTTAAATTGTAATAATATTTCACAATATTACTGTTTTTACTGTATTTTTAATCAAATAAAAACAGCATTGGTGGTGCAAAAGAGAAATAAAAAAAAATCATACAGACCCCAAACCTTTGAACCTTAGTATATTTCACTCATGTTGTCTCTCTGTATCATTTTTTGAGTCCAACACTGTGTTTATGTACGATACCAATACAGTGAAGAAAAAATGACAGCTTTACTGAAAACGCAGGTATCTGTATTGAAGAAACCACAGTATTTTTCTTTCAAAGGGCATAATAAGGGTCACAGACCTTAAAAAAGGTTGGAGCTACTGCTATCGGTGTTGCAGTGAGTGTATTCAGGTTTTAAATAAAAGCACATTCTCCTCATTCAGAGTAACAGTCCTTAAAGCAGAACACCGCTGTAATGGCTTCTCAGAAACTCCTACTCAACACCGCCTCATTCAGCTCGTCTCATGTTGGTAATTACAGTTCTTGCCGTTTCCCTGAATTCTTGTCTCGTGCCACATATTGATCCGTCACCTGGTAGTCAGAAACACACACTGTATAAAACTCTAGAATCTATCCCATGTAAGAAAGGAAACTGTTCACATTTAAAGTGTAGATGACTGCATAGAAATCAAATCATTCCTCCTCCTGGAAATCAGAAATGCTGAAATCTGTCAAGCTACTAAGAACAAAGCAGAGAGGGAGAGATTCGGATGGAAAGAGATCTCAGCAGGAATGCTGGTGAATTTCCTCAAGGAAGTGCAGTCAGTGTGTCGGAAAGGGAAAGCATAACCTGCGTGACCACCTGTGTACGGTTGTTTGCCTCAGAAATAGTCTCATGCCTGAAGCTATACTGTGAAATATCACACACACGCATGACCAAACACACACACATGCACACACACACACAAGTACAGATTCTACAGTCAGTCACAGCTGGAAAAACCAACATCGACCAGCGCAAATTTCCATTCTGGTCCAGGATATTTTACGCTATCCAGTTTGAATTGGATAGTCTGAAATCTTCAAAACAAGATTGCATTTTATGTTTGAAATAGGCAGTCGGATAACAGTGGATTGTCTGAGACTAATGCTAAATATTCAGGTTATGGTGGCTAACTAATAAATGGTCAATATTCAAATTCTACATTATTTTGTCTAAATAAAGCAAAACACTAAAAAGTGAATTTAGGCATCACATCATTGTAATGTATAATAATATGAAAAATGGATGTTGATTCTGAGAATTCCATATTGCTGTGTTATTTAGTTATTATTAGAAAATGAGCTTGCACAATTAAATATCCAATATAATTCAGTTGAAATATATATATATATATATATACACATAACATTTAAATTTATTTTGGTTTTTTTTACATTTAAACTCTGTTATTGAGATACGCCATTCACAACTGTGTACTTTGTTTGTAGTTGCTGCACAAAGCTGAATTATCCTAGCGGAAATGTGTTTGAAGTTCTCTCAAGAGTGCAATCAGACTAAATACGCTTTATTCAGTGAAATGAAGTCCTAGACACAGCTGCAGTCTTAGTTGCGGATTTAATTGCCTAGAAATTATTTTCATAATGAAAAGAGAGAGTATTGCCTCGGAATAATGGAGCCAAAATTGCAGAATATTGTGCTTTGGCCTTCAGATTAGCTCTGTGAGGCGGGACGTTGCTTCTGTTGCAGCTGATGCTTTCTTTATTAAGGGTTTCTGCTAGCAGAATGAGGTAACTTATCTTTTGCTAACTACATTTGTTTTCTCTCATCTTGTATTCGCAGACCTCTGTGCCTCCGTTCACCCCCTCGCCCACAGAGTGCCAGTCGACAGGGTTGGTGTCGAATTCTCCGGTGCTTTCCAGAAGCTACAGCAGCGGCATCTCGTCTCTCAGTCGCTGCAGCGTCTCTGAGGCCTCCGGAACTGAGAACACGCCCACTGACCACGCTCTCCCAAACTCCGCCTCCAGTGGATCAGACGAGCTCATTCGACGGGAGAACAAAACCCCGCCTCCCTACAGCATACACGATCGGAACAACCCCCGCAGACAGGTCCCACTTCCACCGAGCCTGTCGATTCCTCCAAGCATCGACGCACCACCTATTCCTCCCAAACCGCACCAGATTCGAAGGCAAGACACTGAGCCACGCCGACCGGACCAGTTTCCCAGACCCCGACCCATTCCCAGGAAAGTCTCACAGCTCTAGCGCTGCGCCCTTCACTCCATCCCCACCATTTGCACTTTTACACTTAACCTCTCTGGGTTTACGATTACAAACTCCCGATTTAGATTAAAGGGGTCATATGATGTTGCTAAAAAGAACATTATTGTGTGTATTTGGTGTAACGCAATGTGTTTATGCGGTTTAAGGTTCAAAAAACACATTATTTGTAACACTCCAAAGAGAAAGGAAAAATTGAAATAGCATCATTTCAATATGACCCCTTTAAATGTATAAAATAGACTGTGGGATATATATATATATATATATATATATATATATTTAAAGTGAGAGAGGGGATACAGGGGTATGACTGCATTTTATGCACTTTTTAGGTCAGAAATTATATCTTTGCTTATCAAATTAACCTAGCACCTTAATTAACTCTAAACAGAACTTAGTACCGTGGTATTTTCTCAGATTTTTCATAGATTTATCAATGCTAATGTGTATTTATAGTGGTTGATACAAGACATATTTGCCTTAAGAGTCTTTTTATCAATGAGAAATGCATGATTAAAAGTACTTTGTACTTTTTATTTAGACAAAAGGTGCTAAAAGTCCTCTTTATTAATGTTAGCCTGATATGTTCAGGATTGCATTTAACTTTGGGTCTAAAGGCCTATTCACACCGAATGTGGGGTAAAATAAAATATTAGCACATTAGTCCATAAAGTGTTGAGAAAATAAGATTATTCTTTTTCTTTTTATAAGATCATTGCAGATTTGCATTAAATTCACTTTCCTGCATTGGCATTATATGTAATTTTATTTTATTTATTTTTTTTGTGCACCTTTGCATACATTTCCATGTGCCCTGTGGGTTTATATTTATGCACATGTATTATATATGCACATATTTTATTAGTGGACTTTCAAAGGAGACTTTATGTCTGTATTACAAAGGGTTCATGTAAGAACTACTTACATATGTCATTTTCGTGTTCAAACGGGTGCAAAGACGACAATAGTCATATGTCTAATTCCAGTACAGAGGTTAAAAGGCCTAAGTGCCAGCAACGTGCTAGACTGTGCATCAGCAGTGGTGGCTCTGTAAATAAAAAAGCATGTATGTCATTGTTCAGTCAGTTTTATTTGCAGTCCGACGGGTCACTTAAAAAAAGAGGAAGTTTGCACTCTGTGTGAATAGGCCTTTACAAAGGCTGCTGCTTTTGTAAGACCAAGCTACCGTAGTCTATTCTTATTACTAAAAATCCAAATGCAAAGAGCTTTCATGGATTCGTCGAATCAAAAAAAAAAATGTTTCACTGTATGAACTGCCACCTTTGCATTGACTAATGTGAAGTTGTACCTTCAGCCCATTTATGTAATTGGAACGCAATTGTGGGCACGTTACAGTATATGGGCTTTTGGAGTCCTACAGCATTGATAAGTTTCTTTGGAGTTTGGGGTCTGAATGATTAGAAACCAGTTGTGGGCGAGTCTATAGGGGCTTTCAGAGCCCTGCAGCATGGATAGTTCCTTTAGATCTCTTAGGAGTTTGGGGTCTGAATGATTTGAACCCGTGTAGGTGGTGGGAAAAATTCCCAACAAGTTTCCGTACAGAGCGCACATGCCCACGCGATATAAATGGAGATGGACTTTTGTGGAGTTTTGCCAAGTGTTGTGTCAAAGGAACAGGTGGGCTGTAAGGAAAATGGGTGTCTTGAACTCGAAGATGCTTTATTACGATGCAAATCGAGCGTTAGACATCCATTGTAATAGACTTCACCGTACAACTCACGGTGCACCGGACCACTTTACAGCACTGCGTTACAGTACTGTCTAAAAGACAGTGAGACAAAGTGATAGCCTGGCAAAAGAGCTTCATATGAAAGGTACTTGATCTCCCTAGGGCATTACAGAGACTCAAGCTGCCATTGGGCAATAAGGGCTGCCATTTCTGTTCACACTTATAATCTAAACTCATGCGTTCCAGTCAAATCTGGATTGGCATCTCTGGACTGCACCTCATGTTTCATTTACCTGTACAAAATGCAGGTAGAGCGACCATCTACAACCTGTTTGAATAATTATTTAACATGCATAGACGCCAACACATGGTTGCAAAATGTTCAGGAATGTTTCTGTATGCACAATTTCATCTGTTGTCCAAATGTTGCCACGTTTACAATTCTGTAGGGCCCTGCAAATGAAATCCAGGCGAATATACAGCGGAGAGACCAGCTATCGTTTCGTTTTAGTGGAAAATGTGATAGCAGTACAGTGTCCTCATTCGTTTTCTATTTCTTATTAATTCTCAAATTAACTTGAGTATGATTATTTTCTCCTTTTTACGGTCACATTTTATGAGACTGGGATTTGTTGCGAATGCCAAATGATGACATTCACAAAAATCAGTACTGTAAATTAAATAACAAGATTGTTGTAATTATGCCAAATGCAATATCTTGTCTATTGTACATAACGTGATTTTAACAGAAGTGTAGCTATAACAAATTTACAGCTTTGAATGTTTGAACAGCATATTAAGATGATAAATGTCAAATATTTATGTATTTTGTGAGCGTAGGGAAATGAGGTCGAGAAAGCGCCTAACACATTTACATTCTAATGACTTCCTGTCTAATAAACATTTCCAGCAAGAACATTTTGATTCAACAGCTCATTGTTTTTTTCTCGAAAGGTTAACGTACGTCTCTAATTTCCTCCCATTATTTAACAGGCTGAGTGTGTTGTGTATGTTCTTTAGGAGTCTCGAAATGTAAATGCAGCTAATATATGTATATATAAAGTGTGTGTATTTTACAGATTAAGCTCCATGACAGCCAATTGGACCTCTAATAAGGATCATAACGGCGGAAAAGTAGGAAGCTCATTGTTATTCCTCCAGGTGCAGCGAGCCGGTTGCATTATTCATGAGTTTGTCTCTGTTCAGTAAGACCTGTATTTGCACACATAATGCAATCTTGCTATGGTGGGACGTTTGAAGACTCTCCCGCTGTCATGGTAAATTTGTTCCTAGTTTGAGATGCGAGGAACCAAGGATTTTTCCAAGGAAATGCACAGTTTACTTGAAAGGTTAAACGGTAATTGTAATTGGGAAGTATTCGGACCAGGGATATCTTAGTGTTTATTACGGGCTCAAGCGAGAGTGAATATTCCTAGCCTTTGCCGTGCCTCCATCCTTTTATGTTTCCTTCAAGACTTCTGCGAACTGTTCCACCAAAGTGTAGCTCATTTAGATGCTAAACACCCAGAGAATTGTAAATTTATGGGCACGGTCAAAAGCTCGGGAAGGAGAAATGCAGGTCTTAATGTTGCCTTACCTTGGTTGAGCTCTTCATAGCTCAAGGTGTTTTTCTGCTTCAGCAAACTCTAAAGAACACAGAGCTTCCATCTGGGACCGAGGTTCATCGGCAGAGCCTGAGATTTCAAACAGCTTATGGATAATAGATTTCCTGTTTCATCCTTCTGATTTCCTGTATCACTGCTCTTATGCTTTCGGCTGATTGGGATTTGCCCATCGGATTTACCCACCTTCTGTCTCTCCAATGGTTTGTTGTTTTCTGTGTTATGACCTTGTAGAGGACTCTTGCAGATATCGTATGGGGATTTCCATAGAACATCAAACGAAGGATTGATGTAGGCAGCCGTATTTCACACACCTTTCCCAATGTGAGAACGTTAGATTTGAACTGTCGTTTGAACTCTGAAGCTTCGACTGCTCTCCACACCAGAGTCAATAGGCGATGTTGGACACATCAGTGGTCTAAAATGATTAAAAAGCATGGTGAACTGTATGCTAAATAACACAAAATGAAGTTTAAAGCATCCTATATCAATATGAATGAAATTTCTGCTTAATCTCTTGAACGTCTAACATTATATTTTTGGTACTCTTTTCCAAAACCTAGTGTTTGGACAATCTAGACAACATTTGAAGGCCTCAAAGGTATGCTACTGACAAAAGGTTTGTTCTAAAAGGCAAGCAGCAACATTTTGGCCAAACTCAAAGGCAGCTTGTATCCCTCCAGGATAAAACAATCCCATAATGCATTGCACTGATCCAAGATGGTGGATGGGTCAAGAGAACTAAATATATCTTGGTTTCATTCGACATTGTTCTGAAATTTGTTTGTATTCATACAAACAATTTAATATAATTAAAAAATTATAATTGTTGTCAATATATTGTGTACTACATAATTTATGCTAATTAGATTCTTGCATCGGTGTCAACGTTCTAATATGAAATTATATTGGAATCTGTTATTTTAGCCTCATTGAGATACCTTTATAGTTTTTATTAATTTTTTTAATAGTTTTTATTTGTATATTTTCTGTATCTATTTAAAATATAGGTGTCTTTTTTTTCTCTTTTTTTATTTTATATATATATAATTATTCAGATATTGAAAATGTGTTTTTTTTATTTTAGTTTTAGTCAACTACAATAAAGTTAAACTAAGTGAAAATGACAAATGTAGAAATAAAGTTATCAGTTGTTGTGAATGTTATTTCAGGTAACATTTATTTTAATTATTGGAAATGTGATTCCAGTGGGGTTTTTTGTTTGTTTTTTAATTCAAGTATTGATTTTTTTATTTTTTTTTTAGTTTGTCAACTATAATAAAGTTAAACTAAATGAAAATGACAGATGTTGAAATAAAGTAATTGTAAAAGTAATTTCAGTTAACATTTATTTTATTTCAAGTATTGAAAATTTTCAACTGTAATAGCCCTGAATTGAAATGTAGTGATTTGAGGAGCATGAATTGACTGCTTATAGATTGTTTCAAATCAGTCACTTATTAGATTTCATTTTAGATTGGATGCTATCTATGTAGGCAGCTAAGTATGTTTTGGACCATCTCCAACTGCCTTTATGTGATCTTAACAGGTGCATCCTGCTAGTTTGACAGGTTCCTGCGAGAGAAAGGACACAGAGAAATCTGCTGACCAGGCCATGACATTGAAGCACATGAGTGAACTGCCCATCATCAGGCTGAGTGGAAACGCCACGGTAATGTGGCCACTCGCGGTGAGGACACTAAACTGCAATCGATTGGGAAATTACAATAGAACGAGGGTACAATGAAGCACTTGAGTCACGGTGCATTCTGTATGCCAATACTCA